AAACTCGACACCTTTATCTACCATTAAAACTTTAACTTTAGACCAGATAATTGGGCATATTTGAGAATTAAAAAGTTTTACAAATCCTTTAGCCACACTAGCAGAATCATGTTTAGTTAAAGGATATGTCCATTTAGTACGGATAGCGATATCTACACAATTAAGTGCAAATTTATAAGTTTTATTTCCAATTCGATCATAAGGCATATAGCATAAATTAGCTTGAATAACTTCCATAGGTATAGTAATATTATTAAAAGATGCTTGTGGGATAAACTTTGGCCAAGGTTTATGAATCTGATGTAAAGCCTGTCGGTCTAACTATTTTTTTATTTCAGCTGAAGTAAACTCATATCCAGCTTTCTTGCAAGCATCCCGCATTTTTTCAGCAGTTCGATAATAGTCCTCAGGTCGGTAATAGAGCTTCTGCAAAGTAAGATCCCAGTCAAGATCACATACTCTCCGAGGATCGATATAAATAACTGGTTTTTCTATTCTGATTCTCTTTTATGGATTTAGCAATTTCTCGATCAATATAAATTATGGTAAATAAAAAATAGAGAAATTACAACAAAGTAATCAAGAACTCCATAAGGTAGTATCTCAATTAGCAGAATCAAATAGGAATTTCGAACAACGATTATATACCTTAAAAAGAGTTATTGGTATATGGGAAGAAAGAATTCGATTTCTTGAAGAAGAGTTAAATAACACTATTGAACTTTCTAAACAAGACAAAGAAGAATTAACAGAAGAAATTTCAAAATTAAAAAGAATTGTCCGACAGCTCGAAGAAGAAAATAAAAAGAAAGACAAAGAAATTTCCAATAAAGATAAATTGATATCAGAATTTGATGAACGTGAAACCAAATTAAAAACCCAAATACGAGAAATATCAAAATCTGCAGGTAATATCCCCAAAGTGCAAAATTATACAACCAGATTAGTGGACGAGAATGAACATCTTAAACGAGAAATAAATACGGTAAGAACTAATCAAATAAATAGGATTAACAAATTAACCCAACAAAAAAACCGTATCACAGATCTGCTTTGTCAAAATTTTGCATTAACATTATTGAGATATAGAGATAGGTTAGAGCTTATAAATACAAGAGAAGCTTTACAAAACACACAGACATGGAATTTAAATGAAAATGAAACTGCTTTTGATGAAAATTCTCTAGACTTGTATAATCCTAATATTAACTTAGAAATGGCCACAATCAGAGAGTTAGCAAATGCTATAGATGGTTTTGTAAATAATACAACAACAGATAGGTATATTTTGATAAATCAAATAAAAGGAGCGACTGCTCAAATTCATATAAAAAATAATAATTTACATCGAGATTTGAGAGAAGTAAGACAAGCTCGTGATCGATTGCAACAGGATTTAATTCATGAGCAACGAAGGCGATATACTGCAGAGGCTGAGCATGATAATGAAATAATAAAAAAGCAAGAGTTGCGAACTAATGCTCAAAATCAAGTAAACAGAATGATAGACTATATAGCAAGAAAGCAAACCCATATTGGCGAATTGCTATGTGAAAATTTTGCCTTACAAATCTTGTATCGACAAAGTGCTTACCACCTACAGCAATATAGAGGAGATAAGGGTTTATTAGAGTATAATCAAGATAGGCTCTATGAGCGATATGAGAAATGGAAAAATAAGACTCATGCGGAGCGTCAGAATAATTTAATTTTAAATCAACAAATTTTTGCGCTACAGAATAACCCACCTAATATACAACGAATAATAATGACAGGAATACCACAACCATTTTTTGACTAGGGTGAAGATATATCAGATTTCCTTGCAAAACTTAGATTATACTTGCAAAACCAAGGTGTAGATCCAGCAGACAATGCGGAAGGTCCACCAACGGGAAGAGAAGTAGCTATAGGATATTTAAAATGATGTATGAAAGGAAGAGCTTTAGAATAGTTTGACGAAGAGATTACTACAAAACAGAATTGGGAATTAGCAAACTTACTTGATAATACAGGGCAGGCCAACTTAGTAGCTATAAACAGGAAAACAGCAGTTCAAATAGGAAATCAAGCATTGAATGAGGCACTTGGCCAACCTGGTAATGCAATAGTCAAATTAAGAGCTATAGAGGGTCCTTGGGATAAAGATTGGTGCATAGCAGGTGGTCGTCCTACTAACATTGCTATTAATACACCAAATGCTAATAATGGTACTACAGTAGTTGTAGCTGGCATTTGTTTCGGTCAAGCCATATGGTGGCTAAAAACACATTTTCCTACAGTGAAAGAGGAGCTTCGGGATTTGCAATATGGAACAATTAGAAAAGGAAATATAACTATAGATGAATTATATAGAAAATTGTTACGAATAGGTAGATGAGCTAACTATAGGCCTGAAGAATTACGTAATAAGTTCTTGGATGCCCTATTCCATGACTTGAAAAAGCTGAGGATATTGGTGAACATTTGCTATTAGATGAATTAGCTAAAAAGCTTTATGAGATAGAGTTACGACAAATTGCTAAACATAAAAGAGATAGAATACCTGATCCACTAGTATCTCAACGAGCATCTCGAGAAATATATGACCCTTCACCTATTTCAACTTCTCAACAGATGGCAGATATACAAAAATCATATCAAAATGCATTAGCACAGCAAAAAACTGAATTCCAGTCTTTATTGGAAAAGCAGAAAGCTGATTTTCAAGTACAGATAGCCAAGCAAACAGTTGCTCAAAAAGCACAGGCACCAACTCCACAAACTGTCGAACCAGTTAGACAGCCAAGAGGTCCTCCACCATCATTGCAATCGGAAGAAGATCTCCAGAATTATTATATATCTAAATTTTTAAATAAATTAGGTTTAATAACTAAGAATGAATTAAATTCAGATTATCCTATAAAACCTTTTCAAAGACCTCGCTCTCAACAAAACCAATCTATGAGAATGGATAGAATAGAATCGAAAGTAGATGAAATCGGTCAAATGACATCTCAATTCGGGAGGATGATGCTCGATAATCAATCCAAAAAACCTGTAGCTAAATCAAATTCAACACATCGATACTTTCCTCCTCTAATACCTTCCCAATCCCAATATGCATCTCCCGATTCAGATGATATTGAGGATGGTGAAGGTGGATATAACGAGGAAGATAATATATGGCATGCTCTATCTCAGTTAGAAAAAAAAAACAGGTATTGCTAGTAGATAATAAGTCTCATATTAATGCACAAAGTGCACTTACTACAAAAGATATGATACCAAAAACTTATGATCAACTAATGAATTCATTATCATCAGCAATGCAAAGAATATGTAAATCCAACCAGTCTCATAAAGTTCAGGAAGAAACCAATGAGTGGTTCTCATCAATACAATATCTGCATAGCAATATAAATGATTTAATGATCTCTAATAGTTTTTTAGATCCAGGTAGCGAATTCGGCGCTATTAATAATGCAATCATTGAAATGCTTGAGTGGAAAAATGATAAACAATCCGATTTTGCTATAAAGAGTGACAATTCGAAACATATTACTGAATCATTGGGATGAATTACTAATGTTTCAATCTCTATAAAAGATAAGGCAGGAAAAACAGTTACAGTTTTAGGGAATTTTGCATGTATTGATAATGGTGAGCCCGAACCAATGCTTTGTTTAGGTATGACATGGATTAGAAAAGTTCAAGGTATTCTTGATCCAAATAAAAATCAATTCCAAATGAAGTTACACAGAAAGACTTACACTATCCCAACTTTTAGCAAGGCCCCAGTAGCAAAGGATCCGCCAAAAGAGGAGCAGGAATTATTATCTCAGGTTTCTGCTAATTCTTCTAACCCAACTAGTGAGAAGGACTTAAAAAAAAATGTATAAACTGTGCAAAGCTTGAAGAACATCTTGCAAAAGCTGAAGAGTGGCTTGGTAAAGCAATAAGTACTATAAAAATACTTGTCAAAAAGAAGTAAGTTATTTAATTTCATCTATTTGTTTTAATACCTCTTCAAGTTCAAACCCCATTTTAGATAAAATATCAGTATTGTCAGTGGTATTAGCATTATGCTATGAAGGCACCTCTGACTTCATCTCAGTAGAGGCTATACTTGTTTTGCCTATTTTCTTTTTTCTTCAGTAGTAAGGCAGGTGGAGAGGAAATAGCAAGAGGATGACCTCTCTCAAGACCTCCTACATAAGAGCTCACAGAGGGGGTAGTTTTTATAGGAACTCCTGAATCCAATCTTGCATTAGAAATATTAGCTATTGGCTGATTCCAGGCAATTCTATTAGCTTCTTCGCCTCTCCAAATCTGATATATGCGTTTCATTAATGTATTATACTTGTGCATTAATTCCTCTAAAACTTTTTTTCTCGGCCTTTCATTTTCACGTTGTATAATAAAATCATAATCAGCTGGTGAAAATAAAGGCGCATTACAATTTATGCGTTGTCTAACCATACTCATGATGGTGTATTTTTTCAGATAAAATATTTCAAAAAATAAATAAATAGAAAAGATATATTTTTTAAGATAGATAAAATAAGTGTAGTCTTTTTGATATTTAGAAAAAATGTATTATTTCGAAAATAATTTAATAGAATAAATAGGATGAATATATTAATTCGAAAAAGATTTATTGGGATAATTAGGATGATTAGGATAAATATATCATTTTGGAAATATAGAAAGAGTATATTATTTTGAAAAAATATTTTTTATTTTTTTTTTACCTATATTTGTGGGATAAAAAAAAAAAAAAAACTATGGTTCGAATCTATACCTTGAATGATGTAGATAATAGTGATGGTAGTAAACTTGGAAGCCCCCCATCTAATCGATATCCACCTAGCCGTTTAGAGCTTGAGGAACAGCTAAAAAAAGATCGTGAAATGTTTATAAGATCTGCCAAACAGCTTATAACTAAATATCATGCCTTAGATAAAGAAAATAAGCATATGCAAAATGGTCTAAATCACTTACATGAAGAAAAAGAGCATATGCAAAATTCTATAAATCAAATTATCTCCCTAACTAAGCAACTAAATAGTGTAAATAATAAGCTTACGGCCCAAATTACTTGCGAACGAAAGTCTCTTGCTAATCTTAATGCCAAGCAGTTAAAAGAAATAGAATCGCTAAAGTCTGATATTAATTTGAAGGATTCTGAAATTACCTCTCTTGAGGCTAGAATAAATGAACTAGAGGCTGAATTAGAACAAACAGCCCAAAAAGCTTTACTAAAGGATGCTGATACTACCCAGCCACTTCATGAGATTAAAATGAAGAAATTGAAAAATGAACTAGAGCAAGTTACACTAAATTTATCATTTAGAGATGGATTAATTTTCTGTCTCCGATCTAGAATAAGTGATCTGGAAGATGAACTAGAACAGATCTCTCTAAAACCAGATCTGCCATCTAATGATCGAAAAACGGATAGTGATGCAGTAGAAAGGGAGATCTCTCTAAAACCAGATCCATCATCTAATGATTCAAAAACAGGTGGCGATGCAGTAGAAGAGGTATCTGATTTCTCTAAAACCCCTCTTTTTCTTCAACACCACTCAGAGCTTGAACTCGATAAAAGCAAAGTAAAGGATGTGGTAGAGCCTCTAATAGACCATGCCTGCAATAAGCAGAAAGAGAAACTCAATAGTATTCTAGCCTTATCTATTGTTGCATTAGGAGGTAGTAAGGCTTTAGTAAATGATCAGTATAAAATTCCGTCTATATTTAAGCTTGTTATTTTAGCCTTAGTAGTAATATTAATTATATGATATATATATAGGCGAATTTCTCGCTCAATTAAAAAGGAAGAAATTTCTTATCCAGTTTATAGAAAACAGAGTTACGAATTTCCAACCTACCATGCAGAAGAACCAAAAAACAGGACTATCCGAGAAGTCCCAAGAGGGCTACCTCCCTCTATAAAACTTTACTTTATGGATATGGATGAGGCCACAAAGCACGAATCATCCCGAATTCAATCATTTTGCTAATCCTTTAAAGGTTTGTCCCATCTATATCTAATTGATAAGGGGTCATCAGATGGTTTTCGGATATCAATGACCACGAAGTGTTTTTTTATCACTTCATAAACTTTTTTTGCTAGAGGCTCAAAATCATTATATATATCTTTAAGAATTCATCGAATGGATTTTGTTTTTTCGAAGGTACAGTTTCATCTAATTTGCATAGTTCATAATACTCCATAGTATTTGAAAAGTAGAATACCTATTCAAGAAACATATTTGTTAACCACAATATCAAAAAAAATTCTTTGGGGTGATCTCACTAGGTTAGAAAATGAACCTCTTGCAATTCGACTAAGGTTTGATACTCTATTGAACTTGCAGAAGGAAATGGAGATAGGCAGAAAGAAAAATATATTTTAGATATGGTTTCTATTTCTTTATAATCATCAAGATTAACTTTGCAAAATTTATTCCTGGTTCAGTATACCGCCCAATGTTGGTACATTCCCCTATTTCAGCTAATTCATAATTTTAATGACAGCTCCACCGTTTTCCTAATGCTATTCTTGAGATCACAATTGAGTAATATAATTTATATATTAAAATTTACTTGCAATATATGTAAGAAAGAAATAAAAATCTATGAAGTGTATATTTATATTTTTTTGGCTATAAATTTGAATCACGATATTTCTTAATATAGGTTGATAAAGAATCACTAAAAATGCTATAAATTGCTAAAAAACGCTATAATCACTAGAGTCGGCTATAAACTATAAAGAGTAAAAAATGGTTAAAACCAACCGTAACTACTATTCTAGTTTAAAT